TAATGACCTGGCGTGTAAACAAAAGTGATGCCTCCCCAAGAAGTGTTCCCAAGTAGCACTCTTCGGTTCTTGTTTGTTGCTGAGGGCACTTGCATAAGGGAAAATCAAAGTGTTCTGAGACTGTGCCCCAGGCAAGGTTTAGATGGACTTCCTCGGTTGTACGCAACACCAAGTTATCTTGTGTTGTCTTTCTGCCTTACTGTAGCGTGAGTCTTCTAGACCTGTGCCAGGTCTCAATCCCTGATGTCATCTCAGCGCAGTGGACTTAGTTGTGTTCCCATTTGCAGCCAACATCCACTCACCTTTCAATTGTTTTAGCTCATGCCTGACAATTTGTGACCATCTGAAATCACGTTCAGCTCCTAGTGAGATCACGGTTACCGTTGGCCCTGCATGATGTAAGTCTTTGACTCACGAGGCTTAGTTATCAAACTTTTTAACCTCCAAATTTATGGTTGTAGCCCATTCCTTGAGGAAACAGATTCCTTGAGACTTAGTCAGTAGGGGCCACCAGCAAAGCATGGAACGAGAGTGTGACTCTCTTTTCTGTGAGGGGTGCTTTGAGGGTTCTGCCATTGTGCTTAGAAATTTCAGGGGACGTTGGAATAGGACCTGAATAACCCTGACATTAGCTGTGTGGGGCAGGAGAGTGGGAACCGATTACACTTGAGGGGTGATTTCTGAATTGGGGGCAGGCGCCCCTGGGGCTGATACCTTAAACCCTGACACCCTTGGTCCAACGTGCTTTTTCTTTTGATGATGGAAAGTTTGAAATAGAAAGACAGCCATGTGGCCCACGGAGTAAGCAAGTCTATCAGCATATCATTTATTTTGTAACACCAGAATCATAGCTTCTTGGAGAACTCCGTGTGCCTGCCTTTGGACTTGGCCTCCTCCCGGGGCAAGCAGGATCAAAGCATGGCTCATGCCTGGCCACCCATGACTGGTCCGGTCCTGTTGAGGGCACAGGCACATTTTCAACCATCTGTTAGAAAATAAAGTTGGGCCAATGTTTCTGAATTGCTCCATCGGATTACAAGAGAAGCGTGCATGCAGAGCTTCCCACCGAGTCATTACTCGCCCCGTAAGACATTTTTGAATACCACCGGCCCCTCTGTCTTGAAGCTTATATGCCCTTTAAATAGTAGATATGTATAAACATATCATCTGTTGTTGGATTTACAAATTCTGTTAATAGTGCTAATTTAATCTTTAAAACGAAATAGCAAGGTTAATATTATAATATCCATTTTGCAGTCGGAGAACATACACTCCAAAGAGGCTGTAACTTTCCCAAGATTGGAGAGCTCCTCACCAGTCCCAATGTCCACGTGCTTTTGCTGGGGGCTCTGCGATAGCACGGTGACAAATTCTGCACATCATTCGATGCAGGGCTTACTATTTCTTATTTTATTTTTTCACACTACAAAATTGTGACTGCAACTCTTTGAATTGTTGTTTTAAATGCAGATATTCTAAAATCTGAAGGCAAAAGATCAACGTATTCTAGAGACACTCTGGGGAGACCCAGGTAAATAAAACTACTACAGCCAAAGGAATGGGGAAAATGACAGACTTCAGTCACTCTAACCTTTGCAAAATGTCTGCATTACTCTATATTCTAAAGGGAAGCATTTGGGGTCCTTGTGCTAATATCAAGCACAGTGTTGATCGTTGTTTCTATTAAGTGTTAAGAGCGCAGTTGTGATATCTCGCCGCCAATACTAAAAATATTTATTGATACAGATAATGAACAATTACTGCATGATCTGGAAGGTCCCAGGTGGGCGAGTGGGTCTGGTCTCAAGGTCTAATCTGCTGCACTGACGGTGTCTGCCATGAGCCCCGTGTTGGGGAAGTCCTGCGTTTTTCCATCTTTCAGAAGAGAGCTGGTGTCGGTTCTGAGTTGTCAGGGGGGGCTTTATGGGGGGTGTTTGCCTCCCGATGGATGGGAGACACTGTCAGTGTGAAGCAGAGGGAGAGTGTATAGTGAGGGGTTGGATCTCAAGCCAGCAAGCAAAGCTATTGTCGTGATACCCATGGCAGCCCCTCAGGAGAGGGTCACCGGGTGCAGGGCAGCAGTCGTCCCTGCACGTGACATTGGGACAGACATTTCATGGACCAACCCTGGGGGTACTTGAGACCCTGTGCTGTGCAAAACAGGAATCGTCTCACAAGAGAATCACCCGGCCCAGAGTGGTCCCTGTGCGCTGAGGGCATCTGGGAGCTGCCCGGCCTGGGCCCCCAGATTCCCATCTCCTTCCCTCCCTCACGCAAGGCGACAGCATGGCCCTCCCTCCCCCGCCCGCTGGAGGAGGGTTGGGATTCCTGCCCGCTGAGTCACTGCGTTGTGTGCAGCTGTCTGTCACCAGAGGAGTGGGGCTGAGGCACAGCCTGGGCTCCTGGAGCAGGTGGGCAGGCGTGGCCAGCAGGGGCCCCAGGGTCGGGGCCAGCTGCCCCACGGTGGGCTCTGCGATAAGTTGGGGTGGGTAGGAGAGGAGCTTCCGTCTCACAGGGGGAAATCTCCCCGGGAAAGGGAGCAGCGGATGGGGACGATGCACTGCCACCCGCTTCTGCAGCTCTGCGCTGGAGACTGCAGTGCCCCCACACTCACCTGGACACTACCTGCCCGCCAGGTGCTCACCCTCAGCCTGCGGCCCGAAGAGGGGACCGGGCTGCCGTCCTTGCTGCTGTCCCTGCATGCCTGCGCTGGTCTGCCTCCCTCGCTGGTGTCAGCTGCTTAAGATCTTGTTTTTATTGGTCACGTCTTTGGTTCCCCTAAGTATTTATAAAATTTGAGAGCAAGACTGGCTTGAATCTGGGCCTCTCTTCTCCTTTTCCCACCCCAATCTCTTTTCATTCCCCAGTTCCCTGGCGATGAGCGGGAGGGGACAGACGGGGTGGTGGTGCCCACAGCCCAAGCAGGGCTTGTGTGGGCTTATCGCCAGCCCAAAGGCTCCCTCCTGGGGGTCTCCACTGCAGTGTGACCTGGGCCACAGCACTTAATGGTGGTGAGTGTCTGCCTGGGGAGCTCAGAAGAGGGGTAAGGGTCCTCTTGGAACATTCTGGAAGCAATGCTGTGAGCTTGGCTTTGCTTGAGTCTTGCTGAGAAGTCGGAGGTTCCCAGAACGGTGGAGATGTGTGGCCACCGTGCCATTGGCTGTTGGAAAACGAGCTGAGGTTTTGGCGTTCCTTCCCAACTCACGTGCAGGCCCGGCCCGGCTCTGGTCCCTGTGTTTATGGCAGGCCCACCAGTGCCCAGCCGGGCAGCGAAGGCTCAGCGTGTGTTTCTCAACAGGGAACGTCACTCTGTGGACGTTTTTCATTTATTTACCAGCCCGTTTCCTTACAGATAGCACAAAGGTAAACAGCTTCTGGGTCTGCCTGAAGGGTGGCAGTTCCCAGCATCCCTGGGCAGGGGCCACTCGGGCCTTGCTGTCTTCTGGTGGGACAGTTAGTTGCTCTCGCCAGTGGAGGACAGAACCTTTGCTTGGGGAGTCCCAGACGTTGCCGGTCTGGGTCGCACTTGCTGCAGCTGCTTCTCGTTTACCTTGGTGAAGTGAGTGAGATTTTAAGGCCATCTTTCACCAAGAAAAGTCTCTTACAGAAGGTGGCTACTCCAAAAGCTGCCCCTCCCCCAGTCCTGCCGCGCGCACTGTTTGACCTGAAAGCAGAAGCCAGCCCGATTCGGGCCCCGGGCACCCTGGGGCCCTGGAAAGATGCCACCACCTGGGGGCCTGCCCCTGCTGTCTGAGTGCGGGGTGTCCGGTCCCTGCAGTACTCCCCGACTGTGACCTGAGGCCCCTATGGCCAGTGCCACACACAGGCAGGAGACGCAGGGCGGCCCCAGGTGTAAAGATGGGACAGGACACTGGGGCTCCGCTCTGCCCACCGTCCCAGTGCCGAGTGTCTGCCCATGGGCACAGACAGCTAGGGCACTTGAGCCGCACCCCAGGGCCTAGTGAGCCCCCAGCTCCAAGGCTGGGGCATCACAGCCTGCATTCAAATCTCATCGGGGTGATTCTGAACACGTGTCTTAAACAACTACCTCCAGGACCTCTGGATAGCCGGCCATGGGAAATTAAATGCCAACCCCTCTCTCTCTACCCCTTTCCTCCCTCTCTGTCTCTGAATTATAGCATGCACACATCCCTTAGCATAACATAGACAGTAATGACCAGCTGCTGCTGCTTTTGTGAAAACAAAGGCTTTAAGTTGAAACATGGAGTGTCTAAATGAAAGAAAAACTTCAGGCCACCATAATCTGTCACTTTGGGAGGCTGAGAGAGGAGGATCGCTGGAGGCTAGAAGTTTGAGATCAGCCTGAGCAACATAGGAAGACTCTTTCTCTATAAAAAATTAAAAAAAAAAAAAAATCAGGCCTGCTCTCTGCAGTCCCAGCTGCTCTGGAGGTTGAGGCAGGAGGATCATTTGAGCCATGAGTTTGAGGTTGCAGTGAGCTGTGATCACACCACTGCACTCTAGCCTGGGAGACAGAGGAAAATCCTGTCTCAAAAAAGGAAAAACAAACAAAAAACCACAATTGATCATCTATGGCTAGACCACCCTGGACACGCCCGATCTTGTATGAAAAACTTCTTCACCAACAGTTGTTAAAATTTAGAAAAAAAGAGACTGTGGAATTTCATTTTTCAGGTGTCTTCCAAAGCAGGACACATTCTCGTGGTCTGAAAGGGCTTAGGCGTGGCCCGTCTGCAGGCTCGGCACAGTGGCATTTCAGAGCTGCGGTTCTGTGGGAACAGCACAAAAAGTCTATTGAAGCGTCTCGAGGAATCACGACGCACCAGTGCAGCAGTGTGGTGCCTCTGGCTGCCATGTAGCCACCTCCACGTGCCCATGCCCAGGGCAGAGTTCCAGCCCACGCTGGACTCCCCCGGCTTGTGGCCTCAAAGGGGAAACCCCCCCTACCCCCCCGCACCAGCCTCTGCACGATGCAGTCCCTATAGCCGTTGCCTTTCTGCTTTGCCTCTTTAACCCAGGTCAAGTGCTACCACAAGAAATACCGCTCGGCCACCCGAGATGTAATCTTCCGCCTGCAGTTTCACACCGGGGCCGTGCAGGGACACGGGCTGGTGTTTGGAAAGGAGGACCTGGACAACGCCAGCAAAGGTGAGCATCGCGGCCCTGCACTCGTGGCACCTGCCACACGTCCTCCTTCCCTGCGGTCCCTTTCACTGCCCCCTTCCCCCTCCCCAGTATTTAGCCTATTGACGGAATTATTACCAAATCAGGAAAATTGATAATCGATCTGTGGGGAAAAAAAAGTGTAGCAAAATAATGAACCACCCATGTTTCTGTGCACCGTTTCTGCCACACGTTTGGCCATGGTGCCACACGGGTTGGAGTGTGAGGACAAAATCCGTCCAAATCATCCACAAATGTGTTGAAATTCATGTTCTTCTTTTTTCCCCAGATGACCGTTTCCCTGACTACGGGAAGGTTGAATTAGTCTTCTCTGCCACACCTGAGAAGATTCAAGGTGGGTGCCGGGCACCGTTGGGTCCGTGCTGAGGCTGGTGGGAGGCAGGTGAGGCTGCGCCGGCGCGGCTGTGTGAGTCGCCCACCTTAGCGCACGTCTGCACATTGTTGTGATTAGTTTTCTTAAAAAACAGCATATTGGACAGTGGAGGGGAGGTAGCTTGGTGACACTCGCTTGGGGGCCCACTTGGGTCAGTAAGACCCAGAGGTGGCACCACTTGTCAAGGCCCCTCAGCCCCTCACCACGGCCCCCTGGTGTCCCTGAGGGCCTGTCTTCCATCTCCTGTGAGATTACACTAAATTTCCATTTCTCCCTTCAACAAACAACCAATTTTTTAAAAACTGGATAGAAGTATATTAGGCTGCAAGTACTTTTGTATAAAAGAAATTCTCCATTCTCCTAAAAAATACATTTAAAAGGGAAGCAGTCCTTTCATCATCAAAGTAAATTGTTCAGATCCATCACCGGAGTCCACAAGCATGAAAGTTTTATTTCCATTTTTAATAGCTATGGAAAATAATCACCTGCTGTCTACGCTCATTGTCGTAGATTTAGGGGAGAACCTTTAAAATGCGGAGGGAGGGCCGTGGGTCTGGGAGCCTGCAGCCTGGGCTCAGACCCTGGGCCCTGAGACCGAGGGACCTCGCTGGCCCTCTGCGTCCTCCTCCCCGAGGTGGCGTGAGGCTCCTGTTCTGCAGCACTCAAGAGTCTGCACCCGGCACGCGGTGGGCCACAGGCCAATGCCCACCGTTCCTCGCCCTGAGCAGCTGAACTGCTGTTCCATCTGTGGGAACCGCCCACACTGTCCCTAGCTAGTGTCACGACTTGTGGGGGAGGGTAGTGAGCGGAGTGGCGTGGCTGCCCCACTCAGGCATGCCACCCACCGCCATGGGGGCCTCGGGCCGCACCAGGGCTGACACTGCTGCTGTGCCCCGTGCAGGCTCTGAAGACTTGCACAGCAACCACGGAGTGACCGTGGACTACAACACGGCAGACCCCCTGATCCGCTGGGACTCGTACGAGAACCTCAGTGCAGACGGAGAAGGTGCGTGCGGTTGCCTTGCTTGCGGAGAAGGGCGTGGGGGGGACAGCCTGTCCGCAGACTGGGAATGTTCTGCAGTCTGCTCAGAGCATGGAAATCTCCCTGTGTTCGCAGAGGTGCAGAGCCACACCTTTGTGACAGGGCTGTGAGTTTCGAGGGTGTTCGTGAGAATCGGGTGAAAATTTGGGTCAGGACTTTTACAAGACTGTGTTGGGCCGATGACGGGTCGGTGGCGTTCCCTGCAGGGCCTTGTTTGCCAGACGTGTGTGTTCACTGCCCGGGCCCACCCCTCCCCGCCCCCCCGCCTGGCTGTGAGTGGGGCCGCTCCGGGCACCCTCCCTCTGTGGCATAGCCCACGGCAGCAGTTGTTTGGTTTCGTTCCTGTTTGCTTGTTACCGTCGTGTCCCTGTTTTATGGCTGTGTCATTTTATTTCTGTTTTTGTGAGCCCATCTCACTCGAACATGCCCTCCGTCCACCGACGGAATGTGCCGTGGGGTCACACGTGGAAGCAGGAGCAGGAGAGCAGGGAGGGACAGCCGCACCCTGGGGTCACCACAAAG